CCCAAGAGACACGGCTGTGTGCCACGCGGTCTCCCTCTGACCCTCTGGGCTCAGAGGTCTGGCAAACTTTCCTGCCCAGATCCCTGGTTTTTATCTTTCCAGGAGAACTCTGCCCTTCTCGGCTGCAAACTGTCTCACCAGCTGAGTATACTTCGCCAATTCGGGGTGGGTGTTATTAGTTTCAGCTACTCACTCCATTTGCTCCGGGACAACCCCTGGGACGCATCTCCCTCTCCCGCCGCCATCTTGTCTCCTCAGTCTTATTATTATTTTTTATTTTTTCTGTTCTGATTGGGTGTTTTTTGGCCTCCTTATATTTCAAATAGCTGATTTGATTTTTGATTTCATCTACTCAGTATTGATTTTCTGTAAGTTATTTTTCACTTCTGTTAGTTTATCCTTAATTTCTGACTAGTATTTTTTTATGCTGTTGAGGTTTTCACTCAATACATTAAGCATCGTTATAGCCAGTGTTTTCAACTCTGCATCTAGTATATTGCTTGTCTCCATTTTGTTTAGTTTTTTTGTTCTGTTCTTTCATTTGGGACATTTCTTTGTCTCCTCATTTTGGCAGCCTCCTTGTGTTTGTTTCTATGTATTAAGTAGAGCTGCTACATCTCCCAACTTGGTAGAGTGACCTAATATAGTAGGTGTTCTATTGGTTACAGTGGCACAACCTCCCTGATCACCCAAGCAGAGCCCTCAAGGGGCATCTCCCATGTGGGCTATGTACTCCCTCCTCTTGTAGTTTAACTTTGATTGCTGTTGGCTTATCAGTAGGTGGGATTTACCCCCAGGTCAATCAGCTGGAAGGACGCTATGACCACCAACCACTGACCTTTGACCACTGTGGATAATCAACTGTGTAGGGGCCCACCTCATAGAGCAGGACTTACTTCAGTGGGGCTATAGTGGTCGCTGAATCTGATCCTTGAGTGTGTTGCCTATGAGGTGGTTGAGCCATGATGCTTTCACATAGTCTAAAGCTGTCCACTGAGTTACTGTCTGTGAGGCTTCCCAGAGGTACAGGCCAAGGTCAGCCATTGCTTTTGTTCTGCCTGGGGCCACCCACCGTGAGCTACAAAGCAGTCTGCAGATGGCTACTACTTGTGCTGGGTTTGGAGTGCCCAGGGGAGGCCCAAGGCCTGCTGCTGTGGGGCCACTTAGCGAGAGGTACGGGGCATGCTGAGGCCAGCTGCTGCTCGTTTGAGAGATTTTTCGGAGAATCTGAAGTATACAGGCCATTTGTATGGGAAAGCTGGTGGAAACAGCTTAGGTGAGCCCGAAAGTTGTGAAGTTGTATGTCATGGGGCCTCAAGGAATCACTGTGGGGCGAGGGGAGTGTGTGTGCAAGGACAAACAGTGTGAGCCATGTTGATGGAGACTCGGATATGACTCCCACATGCCAGCTCTGTGAGGGAAGGCTCATCCAAGAAACAATGGACTCTGCCAGCACTTCTGGCTGGGAGAAGGTTGTTTGCCCAACTCTTGCCCTGATGCCAGACAATTTTGTTCCTCCCCCATATGTCTCTGTTGCTTTTCACGCTGCAGTCCCAGCACTAAAGCTCAGAGGGAGTGAGTCTGAGTAAGTCCCTTCATGGGCCCTTTAAGAGGAATTGCCTGGGATTCCAGCAGCCTTTGTCTTCCTCAGCTTCAATCCCTGCTGGTTTTTACAACCTAAATCATGAGGACTTCTCTTCCTAGCACTAGAACCCAGGTTTGGGGGGCTGGGGACGCTGGTGTAAGGCTGGGACTCCTTGCTCCTCAAGGTGCGGCTCCACAGCTGAGATATCCCTTCCAATTTTTATCTGCCACATTTTGGTGTGGTATCAGCCTGTTCCACATCTTCACCTCCCTTAACAGTCTGGATATGGCTTCTTCTTTAATTCCCTAGTTGTAGGACTTCCATTCAGCCAGATTTCAATTGGTTCTGAATGATGGTTAGTCTGTAATTTAGTTGTAATTTTGATGTGATTGTGGGAGGAGGTGAGTACCACTCTTACTTATCCCACCGTGTTGTTCAGAAGTGAGAGTTTCCAGAACTAAATCTTGGTGAATGTCCTTTCCAAGAAACAACACATCCTTCTGCCACATGTCCAAGAAACTGCAGCATGGTCTCCCATTTGTGAGCACTCAGGTTTTTTCTGAATGTGCTGTAGCTAACATAAACCCCTGTATTGTGGATAGTGAAAAAGTTACAAAAGAATTAATAATCAAGCCCTGACCAGTTTGGCTCAGTGGATAGAGCGTCGGCCTGCGGACTGGGGGGTCCCGGATTCGATTCCGGTAATCGATGTTTCTCTCCCATCGATGTTTCTAATTCTCTATCCCTCTCCCTTCCTCTATGTAAAAAATCAATAAAAGAAAAAAAAGAATAATAAAAAAATAAACTGTGACTTCAATAGCTTAATTGCATAGATTTCAGACTTATCTTTTCTAAATACATTTATACATATTCTCAATTAACGCTACCATGTGTTCTGCTCCCTTAGAAGTAAAACCTGATATAGCACTGATGGAGTCTTTTAGCATCCTTAAATGTATTCATATTTCCATTTGTTCTGTGTAACAGTTATAATAATAATGTTTATATTGTGTGGGTATTCTTGAATTTATCCTTTAAAAGATTCAAAATAGAATCTATTACTATGTGATGTCTTTAGATTTTCTTTGAAGACATCTTGGGACTTCTTTGAACTTCTTATTTTAAGATAATGAAATTCCTTTAAATTTTACCTGAATTCTTTGTTTATATTTCATAACATTAGAAAGATTATTTTTAATATTGAAGTAGTGAATGTCTTTTTCTTTGATGTTTTTAGATGTCTACCAGAAGTTCATATAATGCTATTCTATGACTTTGTTAGCTTTATTTTACTACGTTTATCCTATAATATATCTTCAGTTGTCTTTTAAATTTAAGATATTTTGCCAGGTTTTTAAAATTAAAGGAAGATCTTCTTTGTAGTTTATTGTTATACATTTAAATATGCTACATATCAAATTTAAGATATTCATGTGAACTTCACGTTTCTAGATTTAAAAAATAGCCATTATCCTAAAACAAACGAAAATCTTGTATTCGCATCAAAGCAAAAACAATCTTGAGTATTTTTATTTATAACTAGTAAGGTCACCTAAATCACATTCAAGAAAAATAATTTATAGCTATTGTTTTTCTACCTTTTAGTTTTTATTTTTCTATCTTTGAATTTCTACTTGTTCCTTTCCTAAGCATAAATGCTCTTTTGGAGGATTAATCAGTCAACCAGTATTTACTGGAAATATTTTATATGGAAGGCAAGGTGTTATGAAATTCCCAGAGTATTTTAAGATTAGGTTTCTGCCCTATCTACTCAGAGAAGTAGGACATAATTATATCAAAACATAACTAGAGATTCTAGGTGATAAATGAGAAGTGTTAGATACTTTCAAAAAGCTTATTTGTAAATATTTTAATACCTTATAAATATTTTATTCTTCCTTCCCTTCTTGGCCTATTTACATGAGTGAAATTATGGTCAAAAGGTTAAAATGAGCTTTCACGTTTTCCTTATTAAAATTATTTATTGAGTTCCTATTACTTTCTGTGCCCAATACTTGGCTAAAGGCTTTAATATTATCTCATTTAATTCTTGTAAAAACATCTGAAAGTAGGCATTTTCATTCCCATTTTCAGAAGAGGAAAGTGAGACAGAGAGTGTAAGTAACTTGCTCATGGTTACCCTAATTATTAATGAATTTGAATATAGGTCTCTTAGTTCAGTGGGTTTTTTTCTACTTATGTTATCAATGAGTTGTGGTTCTGTTCAATGATGATAGAAAAAGCTATGCGAATAAAGAATGATACTAAAGATTACAATTATAAAAGAACAAAAGGGGGAACGGACCTTTATCTACTGGTATGCAATATTAAATATTTTACATAGACTCATAATAGGTTGTTTATATAAATATCTAATGTATCATTTCATAGGTCTATTAACTCATGTTAAGAGATCCTATCTTTTATAATTCCAAATATGAAAGTCTTAAATACAGAGATAATTAAGGATCTATTATTCTTATGTTTTAAAGTTTTCAGTGTTTAATGAATAATAGAATATTATGTCCTGTTGCTACTAATAATGAAATTAATTACTAATAACAATAATTAATAAACAGGAGTAAAGATTACTTAAGTTTAGTATCTAAAGTATTAAAGAACTTGGTAAAATATATTTAATCAGATATGTCATGCCTAATTAGACATACTGGGTTTTTGTTTCAAATTCCTTTCTAGTCTGAAACTTTTGTGATATTATGCTGAACCTCTTTTATCATTATTTTTATTAGCTAGGTATTGAACTTCAGGTTCAAATTTTACTGTTTGCTTTTTCAAGATATTCTGGTAACTGTCACCTGTTTTGAAACTGAAGTATATTTGGGACAAAGAGACACAAAATAGGTGAATGAGATGTTCTCTTTGCTTATAGCACAGTGGTTCTCAACCTTGGCTGCACATTAGAATCACCTGGGAATCTTTTTAAAATCCTGATTTCTGGGCCTCATCCTCCGGAAATTCTGTTTCTTTGTTACTAATGTTGTGGCCCCACCCCATAACAAAGAAACAGAATTTCCGGAGGATGAGGCCCAGAAATCAGGATTTTAAAAAGATTCCCAGGTGATTCTAATGTACAGCCAAGGTTGAGAACCACTGTTATAGCAGCTCAAACTGCTATGCTATGCTTCTGATAAATTCAGGCTCTGATCTCTCACAGCTACTGTGATTCTTCTTGTCTGACTCAACTTCCAGAGTGCCTCTGCCCTGCTCTAAGCAGACAGTATCTTCACAGTTTCTATGATACACTTCTAGTTCCAGTAAAGCTAATGGAACAATGGTGTTCACATGTAAGATCTTCCCAGCCAATTACATATTAATTGCAGTTGTCTACAACAGGTGTTTTCACTGTCTCCTTTATAGGTAAATGGAAAAGTCATTTTTATTGTCTTTGTTTCAGCGTTCTTACTTCCGTACTCTGCTCATGTATGGATTCCACTTCCTGGTGTGGTTCCTTTGTGTCAAAGGAATCAGGGACACACAGTGTGGGTTCAAATTATTAACTCGAGAAGCAGCTTTACGGACGTTTTCATCTCTACACATTGAACGATGGTAGGTTCCTAACTGGAATGTATCTGGTATATCCTATTATACAGTGTTATGTCAGGTAATGAGAAGCAGGCCTGTATTCTCATAATGAACATCCAGGTTTAAACAGAATTGACACTTTTATATGTAATCTGTTCCTTTATACTTCTACTGGTTGGATATAAAGTTATGAATTCATTTTAATTATTGACAGTATAAATTGGGAAGACTGAAAATCCTGTGTCCTTAAGCTTTCTTTTTTTTTTCTTTCCTTTTACAGGAATTAAGTTCTCTCTCCTACCTAAAACCAATCTTCTGCATCTCCTTCCACCGTCTAAGAACCTAATCTTGTTTGCTTTTCTCTGTTATACATTTAGCCTTTCCCCCTCAACCGTATCTTTCCCATCAGTTTTTAAAACAAGTTTAAATTTCTCTTGCCATTAAAAAAAAATTCTATTGACTCTGCCCCCTCCCAGCATCCCTTCAGCTCTAGCCCTGTATGCTTTCATAGCTGACCTTTTCTTGAAAGAGTGGTCTGTATTCACTCTCACCATTTTCTCATTTCCCACTCACTCTTCACCCAACCTTAATATGAATTTTCCCTCATCCTTACCTTCATGTTGTTAAATTCAGTGGTCAAGTTTTATATGACCATTTATTGTCTTAATTAACCCATCAGCAGCTCTGAATACTTCTGAACTCTCTGTCTTGAAATACGCTGTTCCCTCAGCATATTTTTATCCCCCATCTCTCAATTCTTAACCTGTTTAGTGACTAACACTGTCACACAGAAGCTTGAAACCTTGGATTCAGCCGCAACACTTCCCATGGCACTTCAACATATCCAATGCATGATCAAGGCCTGGGGATTTTAGTTTTATGTTCCTCCATTCCTTTTCATGTTCACCACCACTATTGAGTATATCATCATTTCCTATGCTTCATCCTAAGGGATCTTCTCAAAAATTAAAATGATCAACCAAATGCACCCTTTCTGCCTACAATCCTTCAGTGGCTTCCGATGACCTTGGAAGTAGACTGATAAGCAGTATCAGTATTGATTCCTTAGTTTGGCCCACCTGAGTCTCCACATGCGGAGACTTCTCAATACTCCCCTTCTCAGCTTCTTTAGATCATCTGGCCCTTAGTTTCCAGACTTGATCAGATGCCCCTAATTCTATGCTATCGCAGTACCATAAGCCTTTCTTTGTAGCACATACCATATATATAGTATTTTCCCGTGTAATGTTTATCTCCACTAAAACATAAGCTGCACAAAAGCTAGAACTCCATCTGATTTTGCTTATTAATATAGTCTGTCTAATATAGTGCCTGGCACATCATAGATACTCAAAACTATTGTTGAAAAAATTAACACTTAGTGTTAGCCATGGGTTCTGTGTGAATTCTGTTCATGAGGGCCATGGGGAAAATCTGCATAGTCCAGTAGATGTCCTTTTTGTATTCTCTTAACTTCTGTGCATTTATATTGCAAAGATCTATTATTTCCCTAGATATAGATATCTTATACCACCAAAAATCTTTAGAGAAACTATAGTTTCAGAATTAAAATTATCATTCAAACATGGTTTTTAAAATTTTTAACTAGATTTAAAATTTTTAAATCTATATTTGGTCTTCAAATTAAGATACATGCTTTGTTATGTTGAAGAATAAAATATACTGATAGTTAATGAACTCTAAAATTAGAATCTAATTTAAGAAGCCACTCTGGAAGTAAAGCCCTCCCTCTGCATTACATATTTCTCAGTCAGCTGTTATTTCTAGAACTTAGGGTCAGAGAACTAGGTACCTTGTAGTTTAAAGGAAGGATTTACAAATGGAAAACATTAGGGTTAGGATTGATAACTTAAAAGTTATGAAGGTTCCTCATTAGGTTTGTTCTATAGCAGCTTCTGCCAAAAGAAATAAAATATAAGACACAAATGCAAGCCATTTTTGTAATTTTATATTTTCTAGTAAGCCACATTAAGAAAGTAAAAAGAGTCCTGGTTAGTGTGACTCAGTTGGTTGATTGTAAACCCATACACCAATAGGTCTCCCATTTGATTCCTGTCAGGGCACATACCAAAGTTTCGGGTTTGATGCCCGGATGGTGTACAGGAGACAACTGATTGATGTTTCTTTCTCACATTGATGTTCCTTTCTATCTAGCTAGCTAGCTAGCTAGCTATCTCTTCCTTCCTTTCTCTAAAAAAAATCAATTAAAAAAAGAAAAATGAAATTTATTTTAATAATATACTTAACAAAAATATTTTCATTTCAGTGTGTACTCAGTGTGAAAAAGTATTGAGATGTTTAACATTCATTTCTTTGTATTGTGTTCAAATTACAATACATTTAAATTCAGACTAGCTACATTTCAAGTGTCCAGTAGCCACATGGTGGCTACTGTATTGGACAACATAGTTCCAGGATATTGGGAGATTTTTAGTTACATTTAAAAATTTTGTTTTTCTTCTTTAAATGTTATGCTCATGTGCATTCCTTTTAAATTATTTATTTTGACTTGGTTGGCATAGTACTGACCTGACTTAAAATTTTAGCCTCTTACATTTCTTTATGGTCCAATTATGTTTAATTTGGACCTGTAAAAGCGAACTACCAAATATGCACGTATCAACTTAATTAGCAGTATTCTCTTTATCACTTTTCATCAATAGTTGTCATTTAAACATTTCTTTAAATCAAAATCATCTACACTTTTTTAGTCAAGAAAGCCTAAAGAAAAGATTTTTTATGTAGTATAAATTGTAGAAATAAAGTTGTGCATCTGTTTATTTCCATACATCACCAGGGACTTGTTTCTTAAAGAATTTATCCTAAAAGATTCATTCAGATTTTTCAAATAAATTTCATTAAAACCCAAGTTGAATTTCTAGGTATTAGAAAACATGAGGCTGAAGTTAAAAGACCAGACATTTCTTTTATTCTGAATTACAGACTTGAGTATAGTTAATGTTAAATATCCTATCTAATAAAAGACAAAAGAGTAATTAACCATACCTCCGCTATGCTTCCTATTGGCTAATCAGGGTGATATGCAAATTAACTGCCAACAAAGATGGCGGTTAATTTGCATATGCACAATGATGGGAGGCAAAAGGGGAAAGACGGAAGAATGGTGATTGGAAACCCAGGCGGCAGGCAAGAGCTGGGGGGCAGGCAAAGGCCGCCTTTGCCCACCCTGCAGCCGGTGATCGCCATCGGAAAGCCAGGCAGCAGGCCAGGTGATACCCCCTGACCAGGGGTGCCGGCTGCCTGTGGACCATGATCCCCATGGCGATTGGAAGGAGAGAGAGCCGGGGCGAGGGCCGGGGTTGCCAGCTGGCCTGTGGCCCCATGATCCCCATGGCGATCGGAGGGAGAGAGAGCCTGCGGCCCGTGAGCCCCATGGCGATTGGAGGGAGAGAGAGCCGGGGCGCAGGCCAGGCAGCAACCCCGGACCTCCGGGGGTCGGGTTGCCAGCTGGCCTGCGGCCCGTGATCCCCATGGCGATTG